GGGTGTAGTGAGAGGTCTGACAGTGAATGCATTGAACACAAGTGTCGACCAGTTTTTGAACATTCCTTACGCCGAACCCCCGGTCGGGAGCCTTAGGTTCGCTAAACCCGTACCCCTTAAAGAGCCCTTAAAAGTAAGAAAACAAAAAATAATCCCAAATATTATAATTGATTTGTTTTATACATTAAGGAGATTATAGATGGGACCGAAACTGGGAACTCGTGCTATCAAACAGTTAATGACTTTATCGGAAATTTAACACTAAGTGAAGACTGTTTGGTACTAAACGTATGGACACCTCATGTCAGAAGTAATACCTCATCGAAAGACTCACCACTAAAACCAGTAATGTTTTGGATTCATGGCGGAGGTCTACTAACTGGATCATCATTTCAATACCAATACAACGGCAGTGCACTGGCAGCTCATGATGTAGTGGTTGTGTCCATAAACTATAGATTAGCTCAGTTTGGGTTTCTATACGGTGGCGATGATAGGGCGCCTGGAAATCAGGGCTTTTATGACCAGTTATTAGCACTCAAATGGGTATAAATTTAATGTTATTTTAATTTGTTTTACTTTTTATTAAAATAGTACTTAATTGTAGGTGAGCGAAAATATCCATAAATTTGGTGGGGATAGGGATCAGATCACTATATTTGGTGAAAGCGCCGGTAGTTGGTCTGTATCCGTCCAAATATTATCTCCGCTATCGAAAGGCCTGTTTAAGAGGGCTATTATGGAAAGTGGTGCCCATATGTTCAATAAGGACAGGGATATCAGAACTAAATCTGAAGTTTTAGGCGATGCCAAGAATTTAGCCAAACATTTCAATTGTAGTGAAAATGAATGGTTAGAGTGTTTGCAAAAAGTGGACGAAAATGACTTAAAGAATGTCATAATGGCAACTACAATGGCCACAATTGATACAGAATACCTCCCGGTGTCGACACACACAGCATTCGAAACACTAAAATTCAACAAGGGTAAGCTTCATTAATTAATTATTTTAATACAACATTAACGATATAATGATTGGACACAGATCTGGACCTAATGGCAGGTGTGGCCGCACACGAGGGCTCTTTGATATTGTATAGTGTATTACAACATATCCCACAAAACATAACTGAATCTGAATTTACGAAATTAGCGCAAAGTTTTGACTCATTTTTTCACGACTTAAATGCCACCGCAATAACCGACTTTTATCTGGATAATGTCAATAAAACTGATCCTGAGCAGGTCAAATGGGCTCTCTATGATTTGTATGGAGATCTATTCATAACGTGCCCCACTTATCAATTTGCCAAAAACTATGCCACACACCCCGGCGCCGGTAGTGTGTATTTCTACGAGATTACATATACTAGGTCAAATAAACAAGATCCGCAATATGATGTTAGTCATGGGGCGGAGCTGGACTTTGTGTTTGGTTTACCACAAATTTACCCTGATAAAAGAGATACAGATTATGACAGGAAGTTTAGTCTTGAAGTTATGAAAATGTGGACAGATTTTGCTAAATATGGGTAAATATATGTGAATTAAATAATTGTAATTTTATTGAAATTTATATAAAAACATACATTTTAAATAATAATTTATAACTTTATTTACTTTAATTAAACATTTATATAGCAAACCGACCAAAGAATGGCCAAAATTTATAGACAACAAAGCATTGGATACTAAATCCCAAGACTTAAATCCAACGAAATTAACGCATATAATAGACAACATATTTCATACGACTTGCGATGGCTTTTGGAAACATTATTATAATTAATTAATAATGAAATTAATAGCAATTTTTGAATACATAAAAATAAAGTGTTAAAATTTAATAGAATGTGAAAACTTATTTTTTATTATGCTTATTAAAATTATTTTAAAACCATAGTATTGTTTAGCATAAGCCATAATACAAGGTATGACATACATACTTAACTGATTTATTGGGTTTTCATGCTTTACTATGTTAGTTAGATTTTTCAATAAGATGAATTATATACAATTATTACACTATCTTATATAATTATTGTTGTATAATATGATATGAACTGGTATGAAGTCCACTTACAGTGCAATATGTTTAAACGACTTATACCTGTTTAATTAAATAATAAAATAGAGGTAGAGGTACAAAACTGATTGATCACAATTGATTGATAGGTATTACAGTATCATCTAGAAATACATAACCTTGTCCAATTTGTACTAAATTTATTGAGAGTATAAATAGCTACAAAATGATTATATTTTTGAATTGATCATTTTTCAATAAAATAAGTTATTTTGCTTTTTAATTTGACAAAATGTTTGTATATTTACTACTATTAGTATTCATTGAATACAGTGTTTGTGTTGATGTGAACACAACATCGGGTGTAGTGAGAGGTCTGACAGTGAATGCATTGAACACAAGTGTCGACCAGTTTTTGAACATTCCTTACGCCGAACCCCCGGTCGGGAGCCTTAGGTT